TGGGTATTACTAGAGCCATGACCACTATGGCTAGTGCACTAAAATGGATGAAAAAGGAAGCTAGAGGCACATCTTGGAGAAACAAAGCAAAAAGGATTGGCTTCGCTAGTACTGTTTACTATATTTGGTTGACAAGAAACAGATTGGTTTTTGAAAATCTTACCCCGCATATTGATAGCATTGTACAACGAATTAAAACAAATGTATACAAAGTTATGTTCACTTTGTATCCAAATGTTTTGGTTTGTTACGAAACACTTATTATGGGTTGATTACTACTGTTTGTATTTTGGGTAAACTGATGGAGTCTGTAATACCCCTCTCTGGGTAGTTATTGTTACCTTGTTGTTACTTTGTTGATTTGCTCGGGAACACCCGGTGTACGTGTACTCAGTGTACTCAGTTTTGATCTATATAATTAATTATTTACCGATCAAAAAAAAAAAAGCTAAGAAATCAATATTTTAAGCTTGATTCAAATATAGTGAATCAAGGAACCAACACAATCGTCGATAATATGTTGACCCCTTGATTATAAGACTAAAAATCTCACTCGATTTTATTTAAACGGTACAAGAAATATTTTTGATAAGTTCACAATTAGCTCGATGAAGAACGAAAAAAAAAAAAGCAATATACCTTTCAATTAATCTCTTAATAAATTATGTTTTTACAATGAATATAATGAGTCATATTTATATGGAACTCATAAAACCTAGCTAGAAACGAAATTAAACAAAAAAAAAAAGATATCACAAAATAGAGTTTTAACTTAAATAGAAGATTATACGAAATTTAGAAAATTCGAGGCCAGGAATCGACTATGCGGTCGCATAGTGTAAATCTATGCAGTTTCATAAATCAATTGAAATCCTCCGCTGGGATTTCGGTAGTTTCTCAGTCCATCGCTTGAATCAAGTTGTTCCACTTCGTTTCAGCTTTCATGCCCATCATGAGACTTGTTCATTTGCTTGTTGTGATCAATGTTTCGTCCACCATAACTTAAGCAAACAATCTCATAGCTTCATTAACTCGCTTCGCTCGAAACTTAGTCTTCGATCCACCCTCAACGATCAATGGATTATTGCCCGGACTCGCTCTCATATCCTTGATCCTCGTGTTCTGAATCACATCATCACCTCCCTCTTCGAAAAAATTCGACCTCAAATCTGTACTTGCATCAAAGAGAAAAAGATCAAAGACGTTAAAACTAACTGAAACGTTATACTCACCTGAAAAATCTAATTTGTAGGCACTGTCATTAATCTTTTCAAAGGCTTGGAATGGACCATCTCCCCATGGCTACAACTTCGAATTTCTTTGTTTTCGAAAACGGTCTTTTCTCAAGTGCACTCAAACCCAATCTTATGATTTAAATGTAATGCGTTTTCGTCTCTTATTTGCTTGAGAAGTATAAAGCTCATTTTTCTTCTCAATTTACAACCTTACCTTTTCATGGAGTGATTTCATCAAGTCAGCCTTCTTCTTTCCATCTAACCTACCCATTTCATTCACAAGTAAATGAATTAAACCAAAAGTGATTTACAATCTCAAAAGGTTAGTAAGAAGTAGTAGAATGCGTAGCTCTATTATATGAAAATTATATGAATGGTAAACATTCTTCTCAACTCTTCAAGTTTTTATTAACTATGGTGCGTAACAATTGTATCATAGTCCTATTAACTACCTCAATTTTCCCAACCATTTGTGGCTCACAAGTAGTAGAAAATAATAACTTTGTTCCCAACTTATTCCACAAAATCCTCCAAAAGTGACTAAGAAATTTAACATCCTTATCAGATACAATACTTCTAGGAATCATGTATAAGCACACTACTTCCTTCATGAATAAATCCACAATATTGGTGGCATCATCAGATTTATGACATAGAATAAAATTTGTCATCTTACTAAATCTATCTACCACCACAAATATAGAATATTTTCATTTCTTAGTTCTAGATAAACTCAACACAAAATTCATAGACACATCAATCCAAGGTTCACTAGGAACATGTAGTGACGTATATAAACTCTGAGATAGAACCTTAGATTTAGATTTTTTGCAAGTGATGCATCTACTACAAATCCGATCAACATCAACATTCATCTTAAACCAATAAAAATGTTCACCTAACATCTCTAAGGTCTTCTTAACCCCAAAATGACCTATTAGACTTCCACTATGTGCTTCACGTACTAATAATTCTCTCATTGAACATTTAGAAACACATAACTTATTTTCTCGGAATAAATACCCATCAAGCCTAAAGACTCTATCCACAACACCCTTGTCACATGATTCGTATATATTAGCAAAATCTAAATCATTAGCATACATGTCCTTAACATATTCAAATCCTAGCAATTTGGCATCTAAAGAAGTTAGAAGCAAGTACTTTTTTGATAAAGAATTTGCTACCACATTTTCTCTACCTTGTTTGTATTGAATGACATAAAGAAATGTCTCAATTAACTCTATCCACCTTGCATGTTTCTTGTTTAGCTTGTGTTGACCCCTTAAATGTTTTAAAGACTCGTGATCGATATGAATCACGAATTTTTTTGCCCATGGGTAGTGCTGCCATGTCTCCAAAGTTCAAACAAGTGCATACAACTCCTTGTCATATGTAGAATAATTGAGAGTTGCTCCACTTAGCTTTTCATTAAAGTAAGCGATTGGCCTTCGTTCTGAGGCATCATATTCAATTTCAAAAGTATTGTTAAAGTTAGGTAATATAAAATCGGTATAGTACACAACCTATCTTTAATAGTATTAAAAGCATGCTCTTGTTCAATGCCCTAATGAAATCCTACACTTTTCTTTCAAATCTCCATGCGTGGTGTGGCAAGTGTGTTGAAATTTTTAACAAATTGCCTATAAAAATTAGCTAACCCATGAAAGTTTCTTATATCGGTTATGCTTTTAGGTGTTGGCCACTCCTTAGTGGCTTTGATTTTCTCCTCATTCACTTCAATACCCTTAACACTAACAACGTAACCAAGAAAAACAAATTTTTCAAGCAAAATGTGCACTTTTTGAAGTTAACATAAAGTTGTTCTTGTCTTAAAACTATAATGACACATCTCAAATGCCCTGTATATTCATTTAGATCCTTACTATATACCAAAATGTTATCACAGTAAACCACTACGAATGCACGTAAAACATGATTCATTAATCTAATAAATGTGTTAGGTGCATTAGTAAGTACAAATGGCATGACTAACCACTCATACAACCCATATTTAGTTTTAAAGCGATTTTTCATTCATTTCCTTCCCCCATCCTAATCTGATGAT